GTCCCCCAGTGCTTGTGCGCGACTGCCTGGGCTGTCAGAGGCAGGACTGCCAGGGCCTAATGCAGGGAGCTTGTCCATTCTCTGACCTGAGGAAATGGCCCAACCTGAGGGAGAAAAAGCAATGTGCGTGCTTCCTGGCTGGGAGTACACAAGAGACCTGGGTTCGAGTCCCCGTCCAGCCTTAAGACCCAGGCTGTGGGATGCACCTGTCACCCGGTGACCTGGGGAGGCAGAGAGGGGTCATGAATTTGAGGCTGGCCTGGGCAACCCAGAGAGTCCCTGACTGAAAAAGGGCCAGGTGTGGTGGCCTGCACCTGTGGTCCCAGCTAGGAGACTGTGGCAGGGTGAGGGTGACACTGTGAGACCCTGTCTAAAAATCAAGGGGAGAACTGCAGGCAGGCAGAGGCTACATTCCATGAAAGAGAGGTGCTGGGCCAGCCCCCGTGGAAGACCTATGGGGACGTGTCAAAGGGCAGTGGGTGTGGGCAAGGACAACATGCAGTTCCGGGGGCAGCAGGACAGAGGAAACCCTTCCCCTCTGCTCCCCGTGCCTCCTCCAAGCCACCCTCGCCAGCCTAGCCTTCAGCACCCTCTCCTGTCTCCCAGAGGACCCGCTTTGTGTCCCTACTCATGGGGCCCAGCCGGAGCCATGACAGCCTCCGTGTGGGCTCCCCCCTCTTCAGCTCATGCTGCCCCGAAAGCCTTTTTTATTAATTGCTGGAAAACAATTCCTCACTCCAGAGAGAGAAAGAGAGAGAGGAGGTACTCTCCCAGTGTGTGGTCACACTGCAACCCCTTTTCTTCCATTTCTTCATACTGTTGGCGCTTGGGGCACACAGGTGTACGCATGCACGCTGCGTATTTTTCAAACTGCCGGGGCCAGGATTCGAACTGCAGTCGCCCATGTGGGATTTGACTCCCAAGACCACTGAGCTACAAGGCAGGCCCTCAAAGGCCTTTTTAAATGCACAGCTGCTCCTGTGCTGGGTCCTGCGAGGCCCCTTGTGGTCTACCCCAGAGCCCTCCGCGTCCTGTCTGCCTCAGCCCGCACCCTCCGGCTGTGCGCCGGTCAGTCAGCCTGGAGAGGGAGGGCCGCTCTTGCCTGCCATTCCCCACAGACTGTCCCCTCCAGGGTGGGCCAGGTCCCTTCCCCCAGAGCCGTCGCGGACTCCTCGGCTGTGCTCACACACACGTGTGCTGCTTGTACCTTGAACTTCTCTGCCTACCATCCTCCAGGTTCTGGGGTAGGCACAAAGTGACGTTTTGTTTTATTTCAGGTTGTTGTTGTCTAACATTTATCTACTAATTGATCTTTTTATTTGTTTTCATTGTTAAGCCACCAGGTCTAGGACTTGAACCGTGATCAACCATGTGGGAACCCAGCACCTTAACCACCATGGCACTTGCTGGCCCTGTGACATGTTTGTCTTACCCAGACCCATGCCCAAGTGCTTGAGATGTGTTGAGTCATCCGAAAAGTCCTGACACGTGTTTTCATAGAAAAACAAAACAATACATCATGACTTTTCTGAGGACGTCTGAGTGGGTCTTTGGGCTGGCTCCTCGTGTGTGAGGAAAGGGGCCATCTAGGTGACTGCACTGGCCCCGTCCTGGGACCGTGCCGCGCGGAGCCGGGCATCAGGGGAGGAGAGACCGGCCCTTGGGCGCTCCCTGAGCCCCGAGCACCGAGCGGGCTTCTACCCAGGCCCCTGGCCCTGGAGGCCCTGGCGAAGCTTCCCGTGAGGGTCTGTCTTGCCGTGTTAGTTGACTGATGTCAGATCAGGAAAGGAGCAGGGTCCTGTGACGAGAAGGCCTGACGCACACGCAGCCTGGCAGGCTCTGCTGTCCCTTTGGCACTGGCTCCGTGCGGACAGACAGCAGCCACTGAGACCCCCACGCTGAACCCTCGTCCAGGCTCCGATACCCCCGGCCCAGCAGCATGCTGCAAATCGCACGGTTCCAAAGGGTCTGGAACATTCTCAAAGCAGAGTCCTCGAGCACCGGCATCTCCGGCAGGTGTGAGGGCCGGGGGAGGCTGGAGGACCAGATGAAATGCAGGTGCCTTGGTCCCCAAGCCTCCTGAGTGGTCTCTTGACACGGGCCAGGGCGCAGGCCTTTCGAACACCCCCCAGGGGACGCTTAGGGCATGAAGCCGGGATCTGAGAAGCAGCGGACCTGAACTCTGAGCCTGGTCGTCCTGGGATGAGGCTCGGGCCCGTGGCTGCATTGGGTTGCCCGACCCAGGCACTCTGAGCACCGATTATTGTCATAACCCGGCCAACCGGTCGCAATGGAGTTGTTTTAGGTGTGTCTCAAACAGATTAGTAACTCAGCTCCACTTCCTGGCCTTTTGTATGGGAAAACTCTGCCCTCCCCACCCCAGGATGGGGCGCTCGCCCTAGAGATGCCCCGTCTCCACCCGGGTGGGAAGGCGTTGCAGCACGGCATTGCAGCACGGCGTGCCAGATCTAGGAAGCCCGATGGGGGAAGGCCTGAGCTGGCGGGCGGAGCACAGTCACACTGATGGGGAAGCAGCGTGCATGCGCCTCCGGGGCGGCGACTGGAAACCCGATGCCCGTGGGAGAGGGGGTGCACAGCCGTGTGCAGTGGGTTACGTGTGCAGAGGCTTAAGGGAATGGTGAGCTGGACACTGGCGGCCATGCCGAGTTTACAAATAGGGGCCCCGGCTTTAACGGTGTACGGAGCATACGTTTTTTATGACAGACTGCACGTGCTTGGCACAGGAGCCACACTCTCCACAGGGCATCGTCACCCCCTTTCGCAGCCCTCCAGCTCGTTAGGGTCTGGGGCGTGGGTGTGCCCCCAGTGTGTTTTCAAGCTAACTCAGGAATCAGAACCCGAGGTCGGCCATGTGGCTTCCAGCCTTGCAGGGCAATAGGGCAGAAACAGTGATGTAAAGAGACACCAGGGTTCACTGGGCAAGACCCCGGGAACATCCCGGGTGAGGACGACGCCTAGCCATGGCGTCCCCGGTACAGGACGGTGTGGGCCTCTGGCTCGAGCTTTAAAGTCTCCGGACTCCAGGTTCTCACGTCCACCATTTTCATGTACATGTCTCTTCCCCCCATTTTCATCCTTGTCTTCTGCCTCATTTTGACTTACTTATGCAGCGGACCCCTAAGTGTCCCTTCCTCCCACTGGCAGAATGCCCAGAGGAGAATACATTCACACTTTGAGGACAAGGAGTGGCATAGAGGTTAAGATGGTGGGTCCCACATGGCTGGCTGCACAGTTCAAGTCCCAAACCGGGCAAATTGAAGACCATGCCAGGCACGCGTGTGTGCATACCCAAGCTCCTGAGAGAATGGAGGAGGAGGGATTGCAGCATGGCCACCCCTCTTGGGGGGCGACTTCCCATGCTCCCTTCCTCTCTCTCTTGCAAGTGCATGTGCCCAATAGCAAAAACTTAAAAGACAAATTCACACTTGATTTCTGTGGTTCTGAGAGGGGAAACTGAGTCATGGTTTGGGAGTCAGTGTGAGAAAGGCACACCCCCCCCTTTTTTGGAGAGTTTTTTTGCTGTAGGGCATGTGCGCTTGACAGATATACAGAGAGAGAAAGTGAGAAAGGCACACCCCCCCCTTTTTTGGAGAGTTTTTTTGCTGTAGGGCATGTGCGCTTGACAGATATACAGAGAGAGAAAGTGAGAAAGCAACCCCCGGGGGGGCAAGGCCACGTTTTTTTGCTGTAGGGCATGTGCGCTTGACAGATATACAGAGAGAGAAAGTGAGAAAGCACCCCCCGGGGGGGCACGGCCACGTCTGAGTCCAAATCGAACTGTGGCTGGCCATGTGGGAGTCCAGCACCTTAGCCACTAGGCCACCTGCTGGCCACGGTGCGTCCCCCCTCATACACAGACACGCTCTCGGGGCTAAGAACAGGCCTCTCATGTTTTGAAGTTCTGGGGCCATCACGGGGGGTGGATTCTGGGGAAGGAGAGTGGGGGGCCCTCTGGACCACCAGGGAGCAGGGGCTGATCCAGTCTGGACTCGGTGATCTTGGGGTGGCTGCCACGCTGGCAGATCGGCTGTGTGTGGCCCGGTGGAGGTGAGCACTCAAAGCCGTGTCACTGGAGCCCAAGAAGGAGGACGGCAGGCCAGGCTGGGCGCAGAGGAGCCCACTTCCCTTGGTGGGCCATGAGAAGCAGCGTCATCATCCGGGAGCTAAGCGTTTTCTCTTTATGTTTATTTATTTATGAGAGAGACAGAGTCTTTGATTTTTTTCCCTTTACTTGCCCGAGGGCTCGTGCTATGGAGCAGGAGCAATCCCGTGAAGTATGGTCACACCGCAACCCCTTTTCCTCCATCCGTTTCTCCTTCCTGGGGATGCTGGGCACACGCACATGTGTCTGGCATGTTTTTCAAGCCACCGAACGCTGGACTCAAACCATGGTTGGCCATGTGGGATCTGCTGCCTTAACCAGCATGCTACAGAGCCAGCCCAAGAGAGATTGATTTAAAAACAATTTTTTTTGGATGTTTGCTATAGGGTGCGAGCACTCGCTGGTGACACAGAAAGAGGGAAAATGAGAAATCATCCCCTGGGGGAATGGCCACACCATAGTCCCTTCTCCTCCATTCTCCTCTTGGGAATTGGGGTATGCATACACACACCCAGAGTGACTTACAAGTCACCGGGTCTGGAGCTCCAACCACGGTCGGCCATGTGGGAGTCCCGTACCTTAACTACCACGCCACCTGCCGGCCCTAAGAGACCAATTTGGGGCAGGGTCTTTCTGGGCTGTGATTTGCTCTGCCACCCTCTCGGTTAGCTGGGCCTGTTAGGTTGGGCCAGGAAGCGACCCTGGGCCTCCCACGTCGCGACTGGGCGACCAACATTTGAACATTCCAGGAAGCCCCCGGAAATTGCATGTTTGCCTGCGGAGGTGGCAGAGGCTGGCTGTAAGCGGGCTTGATCGCTTCTCCCTGAGGTGGCCGCGGCGGCCAGCCCTCACGGGCCTCTGCGGCCCTCTCTTGCAGTTCCTAGCCCAGCTGATGGTGTTCCTGATCAGTTTCGTGAGCTCCGTGTTCTGCGGCCACCTGGGCAAGCTGGAACTGGACGCCGTCACCCTGGCCATCGCGGTGCGTATGGGACGTCCTCCCGCAGCTTTCCCAACGTCCTCCGTGTTCATTTCTTCCTGCCACAGAAACCAATGGCCACGGCTGAGGGGCGTAGAACCAACCACGCGGGTCACAGCGCTGGGGTGGGAAGCCCGAGCCGGCTCAGCGGGACGGCAGTGCTGGCAGGACCGCAGCCCGAACGAATTACTCTTGTTGTGCAATTTTGTAGATTCCTCGGTTCTGGGGAGTGAAACAGGTCTTTTTTTCCTCTTTCTTTCTTTCTTTCTTTCTTTCTTTCTTTCTTTCTTTCTTTCTTTCTTTCTTTCCTTCCTTCCTTCCTTCCTTCCTTGCTTTCTTCCTTCCTTCCTTCCTTCCTTCCTTCTTCCTTCCTTCCTTCCTTCTTTCTTTCTTTCTTTCTTTCTTTCTTTCTTTCTTTCTTTCTTTCTTTCTTTCTTTCTTTTTAATTTCCAGAGATGCATGCACTTGCCAGAGAGAGACAGAGGGAGAGAAAAAAGCACCCCCACAATGGAATGTGGTCATGTCACAATCCCTAATCCATTTCTCCATCCTGTCCAGATTTTGGGCTCACACATACGTGCGTCTGGAGTGTTTTTCAAGCTGCGGGTCCAGGTCTTGAACAGTGGGGTCAGCATGTGGGATCTGCTCCCTTAACCACTAGGCCACGGAGCCAGCCTTGGTGTTGTTTTCTTTTTAAAAGTGTTTTCTGTCTTCCCTGGAGAGCGGGGGGTGGGGTGCACTCAGGCTGCAAGCTCAGCCCCGGCCAGCCCCAGGCTGCACCCCCGTCTGGACACGTAGAACGAGACCGTCTTTCAGGGCGTCTTTCTGGCTACCGCGCTGTCTGGTTTGGGACCCCTGGAGCTCTGTTTGCACTCTGGGTCTCACATCTGGGAGAAGTTCATTGTGAAAGGCGAGTGGAGGTCCGATCTCCTCAGGAGAAGCTGCCCCCACCCCACCCCTCGCAGCAGCTGTCTGACCGAGAGTCCTAGTCTGGAAATGGGCCTCCCAGGGAAAAGTCTAGACCCTAATGTCCAAACCTAAAATCAGGAGGAACCCCCAATCCTCTCCTTGACCTATATAAAAATCTTAGGCATGGATTCCTAATTTTTTAAAATTCTTTCTTTTTTTTTTTTTTAATTCTTAATTTTCTATTTGGGCAACAAAATACTCATACTTTAATTCCATTTTCACAATTTTTTTTCCGTGAGATTTTTGCTATAGGACATGTGCACTCACCTGAGAGACATAGAAAGAGAGAAATCACCCTCAAGGAGGGATGGCCACGCCACAACCCCTTCTCCAGTCTCCTCTTGGGATTTTGGTCATGCACACACATGCATCCGGCATGAGTTCAGGCGGCCGGGTCCAGGACTTGAACCATGGTCGAACATGCGGGAGTCCAACACCTTAAACCCTATGCTACCTGCTGGCCCAAATTTTCACAATTTTCCTGCATTCCCCTCCTATGTTATTGCTCTCTGCTAGGGGCTAGCTGTCCACACCAGGCCAGAGGGCTCTGCCCATTTGTTTGTTAGGCAGTTAGTTAGAAATTTCTAGAAAACTGAATTCAATGGCTCTTGGCAGGGTGTGTGTTCCTGCTCCCCCAGCCTCCCACCTGCCCTAGGCACACCCATCCTCACCTCACCAGCCTGACCCCTCCGGGCACTGGAGTCTGCTGCCCCCGAACTATGCAAGACCTGTGTGTAACTAATCACCAAACATTAGGTCATTGGGAAAGTCATGACACATTTTTGCATAGAAACAAAGAAAAAAATACATCATGACTTTTTGTTTTTTTGAGAGATTTTTGCTATAGGGCACATGCGCTCGACAGAAAGACAAGAGAGACAGAGAGACAGAACACGAGAAATCACCCCCAAGGGGAGATGGCCACACCACAATCCCTTCTCCTCCATTCTCTCAGGATCTTGGGCACTCACGCACACGCGCCTGGCGTGAGTTTAAGCCACCGGTCCGGTACTCAAACCGTAGGCCACCAGGTCCGGGACTTGAACCGTGGTCAACTACATGGGAGTCCAGCAACATAGCCATTATGCCAACTGCTGGTCCCATGTCATGACTTTTTCGATGATCCAGTATATACCAATCTCTTTATTTTGCCTTTAGGAGGTACTATGGTTTGAATGTGTCCCCTCAAAATTCACACGTTGAGATTTGGCTCCTATGGTGACATTGTTAAGAAAGTGGAGACTAAATCCGACTATGTATAGTATTAACAGGTGGAGGGCACGAGGATTAGATAAGCTGGGGGTGGGGAGAGGGCGTCATCGAATCCTGAAGGCTTTACAAGAATATGTGATGCTCTGGGCTAGCCAGTGGTGTGGTGATTAAGGTGGCTGGATTCCACACAGCCGACTTTATTGTTCGAGTCCTGGACCCAGCAGCTTGAAAAACACAGTGGGCATGTGTGCATGTGTGCCCAAGAGTCTGAAAGGAGAATGGAGGAGAAGGGATTGTGGTGTGGCCGTCTCCCATGGGAGGGGGCTTTCTCACTTTCCA